TAAGAAAAAAAAATGTCATGAAGAACCTAGGGGTAAGACAGGAATAAAGACGCAGACCTACTGGAGAACGGACTTGAGGATATGGGGATGGGGAAGGGTGAGCTGTGACAGGGCGAGAGAGAGTCATGGACATATACACACTAACAACCGTAAGGTAGATAGCTAGTGGGAAGCAGCCATATGGCACAGGGATATTGGCTCCGTGCTTTTTGACAGCCTGGAGGGGTGGGATAGGGAGGGTGGGAGAGAGGGAGACGCAAGAGGGAAGACATATGGGAACATATGTATATGTATAACTGATTCACTTTGTTATAAAGTAGAAACTAACACACCATTGTAAAGCAATTATACCCCAATAAAGATGTTAAAAAACAACAACAACAACAAAGTGGGTTGTGTGATCCTGTAACCTCTGAGAAGCCGAAGCTCCCATTCTGGTGCATGTACTGGCTGGAGGAAGTGCCTCTGGCTGTCCCTGTCTTGGGATTCCATGGCCTGAGGTACCATTGGGCCACCCTCCTCCTGATATAGGCACTTGTGTGAGTACAACCTGAAGAGAGAAGCCTGCTTCAAAGTGAGCTGTTTGTGCCTCTTCAGCCCAAGACCTTCTGGAGGGATAAGTCAGTAGAAGCTTCAAGGTCTGTGAGCTTCTGAGAAATGTAAGGAGAGACTGAGAAAACTATAAACTATGATTCATGTGTTCTCCTTCACATGTGGAAGCATACTTGGATAGTGATACAACCACCAATGCTGTAAGAAGCCTCCTAAAACTTTGCAGTCTGAGATGGATAATCACATCAAAAACCTCTGAACCCTCAGTTAGCATCACTCCAGTGGGGATGTACTCACTGTGTGTGCCGGCTCTTTCCAGCCCAAGAAGGCCATGACCAGCCTCTCTGGCCGTGCCGAAGTCTTGTCTGCCTTCCTATTTACTTTGGGCACCACCATCAAGGGTTGGCTCCAGCATCTACTGTTGCTGCCACTACTAGTTAAAGCACCATGCAGTTTACCTCATTTTCAAATGCTTCTACCTCCACTGCTCCTACTGGGGTCTCATTTGGTGCCCCAACAAATTTGGCTGGAACACTTGGTGGTTCAACTTTGGGACTGGGATTAAAATTCCCTGGAGCAGGTGGAGCAGCTCCTGTTGCATCTACTACAATGTCAACCACCACCACCACAGCCACCAGGGGCTTTACCTTGAATCTAAAACCACTGACATCAACTGAGATTAATAACACTGTTCAGGTTGGCATTACTTCTATACTTTTTACTTTCACTGTTAATACAATCATAACTACTGTGATGACCTATGGTCAGCTGGATGGTCTGGCAAACAAATGGAGCCTTGAGTTAGAGGATCAAGAGAAACATTTTCTTCGCCAGGCCACCCAGGTCAATGCTTGGGACCATACATTGATTGAGAATGGTGAGAAGA